GTGAAGGAGAGGAGAAACAGAGGAAGTTAACTTCACGTTTTGTCCTCTAGCTGCACTTCTGTAAATGAAAAGTTCGAATTCTCTAAAACTAGACTACAATTTTCTCCCCTGTAAGTCCAGAATGTCAAACACTGACCACAGTTTAGGTGCCACCTCCCGCCAAGGCCACACCTTTCACCTGCCACCTCCAGAGCTCATCTGCATGTGCCTCCCATGCCGTGGCCCCTGGACAGAGCCAGGCTGCCCCCACGGCTGGGTGCTACTAACCTGCATGCCAAACCTTAACCTCTCCTGGAGGAGAAGAGCATGCCCACAATGGAGTCCCCCGGTGCTTGTATTTCCAAACTGACTTTGTTCTTCCTCTCGCTCTCTCTCAAGGTGGCGAGCAGCACATGGCGCAGTTCTTCCGTGGAAATCTCGCCGGATTAATGGTCAGATCTGGCAAGTTGGAGAGCAAGAAGGTGATCGATTGTCTGTATACCTGCAAAGAGGGTCTGGAGTTCCCACCGGCAGAGGGCATTGGGAAAGGCATGAAGGTAAAAAATAAAACAGTGAAGTGATATCTTGCTTTGGGGGGACCTCAATATAATGATCAGTTTGGGTGCAATATATTCCGAGTCTGTGCTGACTGTATCAGAATGGAACTGTGCTGAGATGGATCAATTAAGAGCTTTGGAATGAGATCATTGAAGTGTGTTTCCACCTTTGCAGCCAAATTGGAATAACACCTACTTTATATTTGTCATATGTGCCCATTCACATAGCAAAAATGGCTTCTTACATATGACTTGTTCTTTTCTGAAAACGGAAGTCTTCCCCTGCTATGTAATGTTAAGGAGAAGCCTGGGGAGTTAATGTTTACTATTATTAACCCTGTATGTGCCTTCCCTGGGCAAAACACTGGTTGACTTTAAATGAGGTCAGGGTCATGCATCTACATTCAGGCCTCGTTCACACCAGACGAGTGCGTTCTGGCCGGCTCACTATGTTGTGGGGCAGGAGGGGGCATGGCGGTCCATTGAAGTGAACGCCCTCTGGCCACTATGTAATCGGCCGCACAGAAACGCAAGGCACATTGTGCGTCCGGTCCGAAAAGAAATCGCGCTTGCAGAATTTAGTTTGGACCGGACCGCAGGCATAATGTGCCTTGCGTTCCCGTGCGGCTGATCGCATTGCGGCTGGAGGGCGTAGTTTACGGTGCCATTCACTTCAATGACTGCCACGCCCCTTCCTACCCCACAATATAGTGAGGCGGCCGCAATGCGATGCAGTGCGTTCCGGCCGAATCGGTGTCTGGTGTGAACGAGACCTCAGTCTTGCCAAGATGGATTATTAGAGAGGTGTTAAAATTATTTAACTCATTTGCATGTCATTCAACTATGTAATACAGAACCTTTGATCACTGTTGATTCTCACTCCGCAGATCACTTTAAGTCCCAGCCAATCTATGTTGACCCTGGAGGGTGATGACATTGACCGCTTTGACCAGGCCATGCAGCACATATCCTACCTGAACTCCCGCCAGTTCCCTACGCCCGGCATCAGACGACTGAAGATTACCACCACTGTGAAGTATGTGTGATTTCCTAATCCCTTTATACTTCAGAGTAGAGGCATGAAATCCCGCAGGAGGTAGAACATAAATTGGCACATACAGACATTTTTTTAAATTTCACCATGGAAAAAAGTTGAGTCTTTTTGACACATTCTTAATTCCAATTTTAAACAATTTATAGGAGCCGAACCTTTATTCATTCCTGAGCTGGTTAGCAGTCCCATGCTGAGGGATTGTTCATATACAGGTCCTCTTTTTGGATTCTTCCTCATGTATATTGGGCTCTCCCAAAATGAGGGATTCACCGATACCAGTTTTTCGGTATCGAGTACCGGTTTTTGGTTTGTTTGTTCTGTCGGTACTCGCCGATACCGGAAGTCCCATTAAGGAAACGATTAGCCATGAAGGCGGCGAGCGTGTAATGACTCCCTACCCGGCTTTCTGATAACAGGGGGTTCCAGTATCAGGACAGGCATCGGGAGCAATTGGGTGAGTACTCGCCCAAATAGTTGGTATCTGCACCGATGCTAGTATCAGTGCATCCCTACCCAAGATGGTGTGTTCACTGGGGATGGGGTGATCTGAAATTGGGGTGATGTTATATAGTCAAGTGTGGAATTGAGTTTATTTTAACCACAGAGAGCATTTAACATTGAACCTGAATGGTAAAGTGGTAAATGTTGGGGAGTTGAACATAAAAAAGAAAATAATCTTTTTTTAATTTCTTTTTCTCTGGCACTCCACTGGGGAGAGCGCCGCTGTTCTCAGGTTTAATGTGTCACTGTGTAGTGAGATTCCAAAGGGGGGAGATGTTTAAAGATTTGGTTTATAAAGAACTCCTTTCTTTCTTGCACAATATTGTGAATATTACTCCTTTGGTGAAGTGACCGTAGAGAATCGGGAAGTGTGTGTGTACTATTTGACCATATTGTTTGCTGCCGTAGGTGCTTCAACGAGGAGACCTGTATCAGTGTGCCCGACGTGGACGGTTACGTCATGGTGCTGCAGCCCGAGGAGCCCAAGATCAGCCTGAGTGGCATTGACCATTTTGCCCGCGCAGCCTCGGAGTTTGAGAGCACGGAGGGTGTGTCCCTGTTCCCAGAACTGCACATAATCAGCACCATCACCCGGGAGGTGGAGGCTGAGGGCGAGGGGGATGAGGATCCTACTGGTGAGTCAGTCTTTGTACCTAAACACCAAAATAAGAACATACTTAACTTTCTTTCAGCATTTGTATACACAAAATGTGCCCAAATCTGCCAGGATTCCCGTAGGTTAGGCACCACGGCGGCTTCTTCTGGGGGCAGGGTCTCGCTGCTCCATGATTTTGCCACATAACTGCTGGCCATCGGTGCACTGGATGAGGCAACTATGTACAGAATAGGTCTTGGTTTAGAAGGAAGGTTCGTGATGGGGCTTATTTTAAGAGTAAGGATAGTTTTAGGCTCAGGGTTGGGAGGGGAAATGAAGCATTCGTGGGTCCTTTCATGAAGGGCTAGGCAACTGAAGTGACCAATCCCATCATCCCTCTGACTCTGTGAGTAATGCTTGTGGCTGTCAGGGTCTTGCAATGCCTCAGGAGACTTGTAATTCTACAACAGCTGGAGTGCTGAGGTTGCCTACCCCTTGTGTAGGGAATAAAATGTTGGCCAGCTACATATGGTTCACAGCGCCAGGAGGCTCCTGCCAAGAACTTCCAGCAACATACTTCTGGCGCTGTGAAAAAATAAAGTTCAGCACCTAATGGTTATTATAAAGCAGCTTTGTGTCCGGTACTTCATATTGAGGCATCCACAAGTGCACCTCAGTGCCAGCGAGTGCTTCTTCTTTCTAAAGGAGGGGTCCCGGGTTCAGTAACCATTGGGGTTGGTTGTTCTGTGTTTGTGGCAGATTTCATCCAAAACCTAAAAATATATTTCTAGGTTTATCGGGGTGTGTGACTGTGATGTGGATGGTAGAATGTAAACTCTTCTGACACATGGAATGATGTGACGGTGTCATCTAAAACACGGTCAGAAATGTTATAAATACAGTAATTTTATAATCCAATCAGTCGTGCTCACTGACCCCAAAACTAATCGCATGAATTGTAAAGCAAGGATGACACTGTCTCAGGAGGAGGAGATGTACATGTGATGGAGGTGATGTCACAGTAACCATTAATATTTGTTATACCTTTTGTTTCCTCTCTCTCAGTTCAAGAGTCTTTGGTGTCGGAGGAGATCATGCATAACCTGGATACATGTGAGGTCACCGTAGATGGCGAGGACCTGAATCCTGACCAGGAGAGTCTCCAGCTGGATCTCACTCACCTTCAGCAGAAGGGGCTCGAGATGACCAGCAACAACCAAGGGATCGTCATCACCGGTCAGTCCGCACTGTGTCCTCCTGCTATAGGAGAGGACTTTAGGGAGGAAGCCTGGGACATGCTGGCGAGGTTATTCAGGAAAGCAGTGCAAACAGATGAGATATTCTGCTAAACACTATTTACCTGGTTACAGTAATCTGAAATGTATTGGTTATGTCTTACTCTGCACGTTATTCTTTGAGCTGACATCCTCAATAAGCCGGTAGATCTCCCCGCTGGAACTCCTCTGGGGTTGCCGATGTCTGTGGCCGGTTAGAAGAATCAGCCTGCTCACAGCCCTTGTTGGTGAATTCCAAAAGGATGGAGATGGTTTAGTAGGCATCTCAAAAGTCATATTCATTATGGTTGTGGTTTCCTGCAAAGGAGATCTGGCCCAAATATTTAACATTGACAGAACTGTAACAAGAACACTTCCCCGTAGTCTCAGATTGTGATCGCTGGTAAAGCTCTATATAAAAGCTATGTACTTGTCTCCATTTGTGAGGGCTGCAATAGTCCTATTAGATGGAGGTCACAATGTCATGTCTTGCAGGTGTGGATACAATGGTCCACTACGAGGAGGTCCTGCATCTGATCCGCTACAGGAACTGGAACACCGCCACCCTATTCGATCGTAAATTCAAACTGATCTGTTCTGAGCTGAACGGGCGCTACAGCAGCAACGAGTTCAAAGTGGAGGTGAGAGGGGAGCGGGCACTCTATGGGATTATAGGGCAGCCATATTGTATGGTGGTTGTTGGAGATTTGTATATATGGTAACACTGAGATGTTTTCTCTTCATTCAGGTAAATGTGATCCACACAGCCAGCCCTGCTGAGGCCCCCAATCACATAGCATTTCAGCCCCAGTTTGTCCACAATGCACATCACTCCTTCGAGGATCTCTCCGGGCACAATCTGATCAACCCGCACCCGACATCAGGTACTGCTACTGTACAGTATAACATGATGGCACCAAAGGGGCATATTATGTAATTCTTTGTTTCCCTGAAAGCTGGAAGAAAACTGCTTCACCATGCCAGGCTCCATACATTTCCCACTGTCCACGTTTTATCCCTTTTCTCTATCCCAGAGCTGTAGAAGACTTTTTTTGTACATACAGGTGAAACTCGAATAATTAGAATATCGTGCAAAGTTCATTTATTTCACTAATGCAACTTAAAAGGTGAAACTAATATATGAGATAGACTCATTACATGCAAAGCAAGATAATTCAAGCCGTGATTTGTCATAATTGTGATGATTATGGCTTACAGCTCATGAAAACCCCAAGAACCCCAAATCCACAACCTCAGAAAAGTAGAATATTACATGCAATCAATAAAACAAGGATTGTACATAGAAAAATATCGGACCTCTGAAAAGTACAAGCATGCATATGTACTCAGTACTTGGTTTGGGCCCCTTTTGCAGCACTTACTGCAATTACTTTTGCACGATATTCTAATTATTCGAGTTTCACCTGTACACAGAAAATGACCTTTTTTATTTCTGTTATCTTTCCGTATAAATCCTGACAGACAAATGTCACGTATTTCTGTGTTCATTGTAATGTTTGTGGGCATTCTCCTTTTCTGATGGGAAACTTGAACTGACAGCACCCTCTGCTGGCGACCTCAGTGTTGTCACACAGCGCCGCAATGTGAACCAGACTCATACTGCGTACAGCAATACTCAACATGTCTGATGTCTGACTCGCCGACAAGTCTCATGTCTGTCTGATACCCATAACCTAACAAGTCTAATGTCTGTCTGGTACCCCGACAAGTCTGATACCCAGAACCCCAATAAGTCTAATGTCTGACTCCCCAACAAGTCTGTCTGCCGCCCCGACAAGTCTCATGTCAGGAAGCTTCTGTATTATTTTCAGCTAAAAGTCTTTCTGATCTGCAGTTGGTAGGAATGACATGCTTCTTTCTATCAGGCTTGCAATCACAGCCCTCACATGTAATGGGGTCTATTGTACGCTTCTCATCCTACTTTCCTCTTCCGCAGTTGTTCCCAGTGCAGCCACCATCGTCATTGTGGTCTGTGTGAGCTTCCTGGTCTTCATGATCATCCTCGGAGTGTTTCGTATCCGTGCCGCTCACCAGAGCACCATAAGGGACCAAGAGACCGGCAAAGAGAATGAGATGGACTGGGATGACTCGGCACTCACCATCACCGTTAACCCCATGGAGGTAAGTGACACCAAGCTTCAGAGGAGCTGTAGATGGCGGCTATGGGGAGGAGGCACGCTGCGTGCAGCCCGATACAAGCAGGGTTCAGAGGGCCTCATTGGTTGTCTACACTTGCCCCACTCCAACTAGCTCACACTAACTTAATGTACAAGTCCTAACCAATTATAACAATATTTTTAATGGGCTTAACTTAGTATCTGGCTTTGTGAAGGCATTTGGTGCACACAAAGTACATTTATATCCTTTGCGGCTATTGAGGAATAGATTTAAATGAAAGTTTGTGTCCGGAGTTCTTCTTTACCATGATTGTGAGGTTCCTACATTGTTTGCTGGGCATAGAATTTAGGGAGTAGTCACATGGTCTGTTAGAGAGGCTGGGGCCACAGTAAAAACTTTGAAGGGCCACCATTGGGTGTTAAATATTAAATGGTCTCTTACGTGTTCTGTTTTCGTCCACTGCTGCAGACCTATGAGGACCAGCACAGCAGTGGGGAGGAAGAAGAGGAGGAGGATGATGAAGAGAGTGAAGAGGGAGAGGATGACGACATCACCAGCGCCGAATCGGAAAGCAGCGAGGAAGAGGAGGGCGAGCAAGAGGAAGACCAGCAGAACGTCAACCGGCAGCAGCAGCTGGAGTGGGACGACTCCACTCTGACCTATTGATCTCCGCTGCCGTCGTTTTCCCGCCCAGTCACCACAGCACACGCCTCCCGTGTACAAAGCCATTCCAGACACATCCCACCCGCCTCACGGAACAACCATGCTTCCTCCGTTCTGCCTGCTGAGTGGCTGGGGTCATCATCACTCAGTGTTCCAATCCATTCTGCACTTCCCATGTCCTCTCCGAGGAGGGGGAGGGGACACGGCCGTTTCTGGACTACAAGCGTCATTCCTTTTATTTGTTTTCCGAACGATGCAAAAATTCCAGTTTTACTGGCGGGGCGGGGCAGGGACTCCACAAAGCCCGGTCATTTTACTGTTCGGTTTTTTTATTTTTCTCCACCCGAAAATCCTGCATGGTCCAATATTGGCGACATCCACCGATACCGAAACAAAACCGCACCCCTTTAACTGTCTGAGGTGCCAGTCCCTCCGCCTTCGGCCTTCACTGCTTGGCAAACCTTTGCCGGTGGCTCCGCTGACGGTGAAAGGGGGCTCGTAGAAGACTAACTTTTTAATATTGTTTGTAAATATGTTGAAATCAATGTAATTATGTCCATGTTGGTGGTGTAAAGGGGTTGGGAGTAATGAAACGCAGGTTGGCGCTTGTGACAGCCTGGCACAGCCTCAGTGAGGTGATTTTTTTTTTTTTAGTTTTCCAAGGCTGGCAGAGGTCGGCAGGAGACGGCGAGGCAGCTTGTTGTCTGCTCACTTGCCCATTGATTCTCCTTTTGTTCTGTCGGCTCGGTACGAATGACTGCCTAGCTAGAAATTACGGAGCTGTAATGAGTCCTAATGACCACAAGGTGTCAGTCTGCTGATCTCCGCGGTGACACACTGCCCATATGTACAGCACATCAGACCTCCGCGGGGTGACACTGCAGCCAGATCCATGTCCCTTTTCTGCAGAGCAGTTGGGTGTAGACGTGTGGGTACCTACAGACCCCCAGTGGGGGATTTTTATTCAGTGGTCGGGAGGCATTGGCAGCGATGCTATAAGTCGCCCATGTGTGTTCAGGCTCATTTAGCTGGCCGATTTATATTGTTTATATGAAATGTTCCTTTTTTTTTTTTTTTTAACACTACACGTTGGGTTCGTCCAATAAAATGTGCACAGTAACCCGCAACAGCAAACTCAGATCTACGATAAGTGGCTTTCTATGCGTTTGCTGCGTCGGCCCTCTGCGCCTTTTATATTATCGGCCCCGCGTGTACATGAGCGCAGGCTCCTCGTGAACGAGGCGAGTGTTTGAGCTGGGCTGTCCCGGAGGTGGCTGTATAAACCGTTTCTGGTTTTCTGGTGGCTGGGTAGGTGCCTGGTGCCACAGGGAATGTAGTAAGTGCTTAGTAACTGTTATTCACTGTATTCAGGGTGTGGGCAGCCGCGGGCTCTCCGGCTGCCGCAGAAACCACAGATCCCAGCATCCCTCGTGAGGCGGCGCCGGGGTTTGTGGGTGGTGCAGCAGCCGGAGAGCCCGCGCGTTTCCTACCTCCTGGAAGAATCCCTTCTTACGTGGAAGGATCTTTAGGTGTTAAAATATTTTTGTCTTTCTGGCAAATCATCTCTGTAACACTAAGTGACGAGGGGCCCCGGGACCCAACCTCAGAGTCGTTCATCGTAAGGAGTCTCTCGTCCCCGGAAACCAGATCCTCTCTCTGCCAGGGTGCTCGGGGTACGGAGACCAGTCCAGACGTAGTACCCAGATCTATGTGACGTGTGTGTATATCGGCATTCACATCGGGGGAGCTGCCATTAAAGGGTTCGTTCACCTTTTATAATCATTACCGTGCAGCTGAGGGGCCCCGTAAGTCAGAAGTCGTCGTACAATGTGCAGAATTTATCTTCCCTCAAATAGCGGACCTGTAGGCTGCGCCCTCAGCTCAGGTCATGCCCGACCACAAGACTTGAAGTCTGCATAATCACCGTCATACTGGACGGGGGGTATGTTGGCGAGGGGGGGCTCTGACAAATGAAATCACATATTTGGGCCATTGGCCACCAGCATGCAACGCACACCCTCTCATTCCTCCATGTCGGCACCATGTTGATTCTGCCTGCCCACTTCATCACAGGGATGAGTGCAGAGCATACAGAGGAGCAAGAAGCCGCGACTCTCTGGTCTAGGCATGCTGTCCGGTGCATTGCATTCTGGGATATGTAGTCTCATCTCCGGGCTTTGCAATACCAGATTACATGTAGAAGTAGCTCGGGATGGGGGGAGGGGTGTTATTTCAGGAAAAAGACTTTGCACATGCTAGTTGGCATCTGTAGGAAATGTGAAATCTGGTTATAAAGATGGAGGTCACTGATTGGCCGATCACAGGGATATTGAACTATCTGACACACCGTCACCAATATATTGATCGTAGCGGACGGGTTGCTAAGGACTTCCTGTACCCGGCTGCTCTCTGCTTTATTATGTAGAGATAGGAATGTCCTGGTCACGGTATGAAATCTGGACGTGTACATGTTTGAATGCTGCTAAGACGTCTGTTCTACACAACTCTGAGGTCTGGTCCGGTGGCCTGCTGAAGGTGGATGGGGGTATAGAGGGAGGTTTCTGGATGAGAGGATGACGCGTTTCGCTGTCGGAAGTGGTTGAAGGTATTGTGTGCTCGGTAAGTTGAAGGTGTCCTTTGTCAGAGAAGAGGAATTGGGGGGTAAAGTTGACTCGTCAGCTCAGCGGGGGCAGCTCTGTAGTCCAGTATATTATACCAGCGACCTCTCGCAAGATGGCTGCCGCCGCTGCGTACCTTTTTATTTTTAAAGGAGGGTTTTAAGATGTCAATCACTATAATGGGTTGTGCAATGAGCACACGTAACCAGCAGGGGTCAGCGTTGTACCGGCTCCATCTTGGCCGCGGACTCGGCTGGCTTGTTTTCTCTTTTCTTTACCATAAGTGTAAATTCTTCGATTTTTAGGTAAGGGGGGGGGGAGGGGCGGGAATTGTTTTAATGACTTTCTGTGATAACGTGATACACATAACTGCTAGCTCTCCAATAATCCGAGGAGATTCGATCTTCTGACCTCCAGTCGTCCCGTGTTTTTTGTCGTGTAGATCTGTACATCCATTTTATTCTCACCGTAGCTGCTGTACGTAGACTTTAAAAAAATAAAAAATCTGGCGACCTGTAACACGACTGCTAATGTGTTCTCTTCTCTCTGATGCTGTACGTAGGCGCGCATTGGATGTAACCTCCAGATTTGTATGTTGGTGATAGGTCAGTCTGAACAGTCTATAAGCTACAATAAATTTCTGGATCTAAACTTCCTCTTCATGGCCCCGTGTCGTTATTCTTTGCTGCCGCTCGTCTCTGGAAACAGATGCAAGTTCGCCGTCTCCGGCTGTCACCATGGTGATGTGTGCCAACGTCTCTTATGACTGACTGCTTGGCTTGCCTGTGGTGTATAAGGAGGAGAACGGAAGATGTTTTCTCTATGATTTCTGATCCATTTCTACAAATACAACATTCACACCACGGAGAGTCTGCGTGTGTCATACCAAGAGGAGAGCGAATACTCGATACACAGTGTAACACGGATCAACGACACAGTGTAACGCTGGCCTATGCACAATGTAACGCTGGCCTATGCACAATGTAACAGGGATCAACGACACAAGGTAACAGATCAATGACATTGTACCATAAATCAATGACACTTATGGCTGCAACCAACTAATCGATTATGAGAATTCTCATCGATTGGTTGGATCCTCTAGCTCTCTCCTCCACGCTGGGAAGAGGGCACAGCAAGCAGTGGGCGGGTGCAATAGCCAGCCTGCTATAGGCTACTGCAATTTAAAATGGCCAATAGCAGGCGGGCTATTGTACCCGTCCAATACCTGCTGTATTTACATTCAGCTGCCGCCTGCAGAATCTTGCCCCTGGCAGCTGTCATTCCCGGGCTGAAGCTATTCAAGCGCCGCGTGCTCACAATACAATTATTGAAAAATTGTAAAAAGGTGGCAAAGTAATTTTTGGTTTTTGGCCTGACAAATTCTGCTGTGGGAGGTGCGCTGGAGTGCCATTCATTTCAATGGCACCCCAAACGCACCTCCCACCCACCCACAACTCTCCTCCCACCCACCCACAGTGTGATCGCCCGCACTGGAGCGCACGATACCGCAATGCAGAATGTTCCAATGCAGTGCGATTGCAAAAAATTGTGCATGAAGTTTTTTATTCTGAATTAAACTTTGTAACATTCCATGTGTGTGTTTTTATTTTACATTAAGGATTGTGTTTATTTTTTCGATTAATTGGATAAAAATTAATCGATTAGTGGCAGCCGTAATGACACTGTGTAACACTCCCCTATGCACAATGTAACACCGATCAATGACAAAGGAGGTTATACACTTAGCTGCCGAAGGCAACCGAGTCAACAACCGAACGAAGTTCAGCTCAGTGGAAAATTTAAAAAAAGTTAAGAAAATAAGAAAGAAAAAAAAAAAAACCTGCACACGTGTGGCATTCGGCTTGGCTATTCTGCACGATACCTCCTCGATAGCAAGCAGAATAGGAAAAAAAGTAAATGAATGAAAAAAAAAAAGGTAAATTAAAAGAAAGCTAAGGGGAAAAAAAATATGTTAAAAAAAAAAAGCGTGTGGCTCTCTCTCCCAAACAATAGCAGACCCTTTAGGTCTGGTACAAATTTTAGAAGGGACCCCAAGTTAAAAAAAAAAATTATAAACTCCGGGCTTCCCCCCAAAAGTCATTCTAGACCCTTTGAGTCTGGTAGGATTTTTAGGCGGAACCCCAAGTAAAAAAAAAAAATTTTTAAAAAGCATGTGGGGTTCCCCCATAAAGTTAAACCCTGCCCTTAAGGTAGGAAGGCCGAAGGCAGCCGAGTGAATAACCGAGCTGAAGTGAAGTAAGCTGAACGCCGTTTGGCTAGTCACTGTAGCCCTGTGAGGCTGATTTAGGCTGAGCCAAAGTGAAGAGCCCGTTTGATTTAGAAGGCTGGGCAGTTCACTCGCTGCCGCTCGCCCCTATTCTCATAGCAGAGAGTGAATAGCTGAATGAGGTAGCGTGGGGTCCTTCTTCCGACCCCTAAAGGGTCTGGTAGGAGTTAGGAGAGACCCCGAGTTAAAAGAAAAAAAAGGGTTCCCCCAAAAGTCGTACTGGTTCTGGTAGGAATTTTGAGGAACCCCACCCCCAAAATGGAGGGGTAAAAAACATGGGTTCCCCCCTAAAATTCCCAACCCGACCCTTAATCAGGGCAGCAGCCTGAAAGGCAGGAATGGGGGTGGGATGAGCGAGCGAGCGAGCATCTCTCCCCTCCCTGCACCATATCAGGCCACATGCCCTCGGCACTGGGAGGGTGCTTTGACAGCGTCTCCCTTAAAAAACACCTTGTCCCAGTGCCGGCGGTGACAAGAGCCTCTTCCTCA